CCTGGTGGTGCAGGGGGTGGGCGGCGTTGAAATCCCTGCTACTATTTTTAATGAAACAGCCTATTTATCCGTTTCAGATGTCTTTGATTTTCTGAAGATCCGCAATCATATTTCTCCGCTGGCCGATACCGTTTCGGGTACGTTCATTACGGAGCAGGCCCGGTTTGTTATTGATAAAAATAGTAACCGCATTTACTACCAGGATAAAATTTTCGAGCTGCGGCCGGATGATCTTTTTAATACCGTCACCAGCCTGTACATGAAAAAGGACCTCTTTAGTGAGGTGTTCGGACTGGACTGTAATTTTAATTTCCGGGGCTTGTCGGTGAACATGAGTACCCGCCAGGAATTGCCGGCTGTGCGTGAGTTAAGGCTCGAAACGATGCGACGGAATATCAACCGGCTAAGGGGGCAGGCTGCAGCCGATACGGTGATCGGGCAGAAACGTCCTTTTTTCCGGCTGGGTATGGCCGACTGGGCGGTGATTGCAACGCAACGGGTACAGGAAGCCAATGATACGCGCCTGAATCTATCGCTCGGTGCCATGCTTGCCGGTGGTGAAGCCATTGTATCCCTCAACTATAACAATTATGCAAAGCGACAAGTATCCTCTGAGCAAAATCCGGTCAGACCATTTTCTGAGCGGCAGCAGTTTTACCGCTGGCGTTATGTAGCCAATGATAACCCGCTGGTTAAACAAGTGATCGCCGGTAAGTTATTCACGCAAGCCACCTCCTCGATTTTTGATCCGGTTGTTGGTGTGCAGATAACGAATGCACCAACTATTTCCCGCCGGGCTTTTGGCACTTATACGCTTACGGACCATACCGAGCCCAACTGGACGGTAGAGCTGTATATGAATAATGAACTGGTAGCTTATACCAAGGCAGATGCCGCCGGGATGTTTACGTTCCAGGTACCACTGGTCTATGGCAATTCGGTGATGCGGCTTCGTTATTATGGCCCCTGGGGAGAAGAGCGCTCACGAGAGGAGCATATT